CAGGAGATAATTGAACTCAGCTGGTGGTAATTAGGCTCCTCTCAAGACTATAAAAGGAATGGCTTTCCACACGCTCATCGAAGGAATCAACGTATTTACTAGACCTGGAGAAGCTTTCGTGGCTATCTTGGCAGACTGGATTGCTGCCAAGATTAGTCTGTGCTGGATTGCTGCCAAGGTCTGGTCTGTGTATTAATAAATCCTTGAAGTATCTTTGTCTGGGCGTGCTTTGGTGTAGGAAGAGAGGGGTCAGAACACCAGACATTGGCCTGCTGTGGCTTCCCAGCCCTAGTATTTCACAATCATCCGATCTTTATAGCCACTTCTTTCTCCTTTCTAAACCAGTGACCAGAAGAGCATCTTCTGTAGGGATAGCAATAGCACTTAAGACTTCTATACAGCTTCACAGTGCTTTACAGCTCTCTCTAAGCTGTTTACAGAGTCAGCCTATGGCCCCCCAACAATCTGGCTCCTCATTTTACCAACCTTGGAAAGATGGAAGGCTGAATCAACCTTGAACCGGCGAGAATCGAACTGCCAAACGGGCAGAAGCCGGCAGTCAGCAGAAGCAGCCTGCAGTACTGCATTCTGACCACTGCGCCACCACGGCCTGTGACCTCACAGCCGTTAGTGAATCTCTCAGACAGGAGAGTTTGCCTCAGCAAAGGAAAAAGAGAAAGCAAAAATGCTACCTACCTACAGTGAGATCCATGGTGTGTCGTTCACCCAGAGCCCTCAAACGATACAGGCAGCCACTCTGGTAATAATATTGAAGAAACTGGACAAAGCCTATCAAATTTCAGCAAAAGGAGGTCGAAATTCAGGGGAGTAGCAGACACGCTGCGATACTTAAATCACCCATCCCTCATTGTTACTACAGTGTCCCTTAAAAGCAAAGCTCTAGTTTTAAACCCTTTCATCCATCACCTTTGGTGGTAGTGTGGTTTTTCCTTTCTTAAACACAAAAACATCTGGTGTTCACAGTATTGGGGGGAAAAAACTCCAATACATTTGAGTTGCTTCAGCTACAATAATTTGCCCTTTGCCTCACCGCCAGCTCCTATGCCACTGCCCTTTCATCTCAATTTCATCATCTTCTTCTTTTAACGACCACATAATCCCTTGTGGGGTGGAGTCTGGGCAACTGAATGGAGCTGAGTGTTTACTGGCCGGATGCCCTTCCTGTCACCAGTGTGGAGTTTTGTTCAGCAGATATAGTATTCTCAGTGTGTCCAGAGAGAAAAATATCTGCCTCTACCTAGGATCGAACTCATAGCCTCAGGATCTCAATTTCATCTCAATTTCACCCCATGAGGAAATCCTTACGTAGTGTAGTTTCGTGGCACGACAAAACCGCGCTCGACTAAGCCGCGCCCGATAAAACCTCGTCGCTGACGTCATTAACAGGGCGTCAACAGCGAGCACGGAGAAAGAAGGGCGCTTTAAATAGCGCTTTGAAAGCAAGCCGATTCAACTTAAGGTAAGGGTTAGGTTTAGGGTTAGGTTTAGGGTTA